GACCCACTTCACACACAAAGACATCTCTAGACCAAAGACAGGGGGATGGAGAAAAATATTCCAAGCAAATGAAAACTAAAAATGAACAGGAGTAGTATTCTCACATCAGATAAAACAAATTTTAAATGAACAACAGTAAAAAAGACCCAATATGACAATTACGTAATGATAAAGAGATCAATCCAAAGGAAGACATAAGAATTTTAAATATATATGTACCATACACCAGATTCCCCAGCTTTATAAAACAAATTCTACTAGACTTTTACTGTAATAGTGGGAGACTTCAACTCTCTGCTGACAGCAACAGACATATCATCAACAAAGAAACGCTGGAATTGTACTAGACCCTAGAGTAAATGGAACTAACAGACATCTGCAGAACATGTCACTTCAAAACTACAGAATATGCATTTTTCTCATCAGCAAATAGAACATTCTTTGAGATAGACCATATGATAGGTCACAAATCAATACTCAATAAATTCAAAACAATCAAAATCAAATCAAGCAACTTCTCAGACCACAGTGGAATAAAAATAGAAATCAACCCCAAGAAGTACTTGTGAAACCAAATAAAAACATGGAAGCTAAACAATGTGCTTCTGAATGATCCTTGAGTCAACAATAAAATCAAGATGGAAATTTAAAAATTCCTTAAAATGAATGACAACAATGAAACAAATTCTCAAAACCTATGGGACACACCCAAAGCTGGGCTCAGAGGAAAATTTATAGGCTTACATTAATAAGACTAAAAGATCACGTATGGACAACCTAATGTCACACTTTAAGGAAACTGAAAAACATGAACAAACCAAACCCAAACCTAGCAGAAGAAAAGAAGTACCAAATATCAGAGCATAACTAAATAAAATTAGAACAAAAAAATACAAAGCATCAATGAAACAAAAGTTGGTTCTTTGAAAAGATAAACAAAATTGATAGACCACTACCTAGAAATAAGAAAGAAGAAAGAAGATTCAAATGAGTTCAATAAAAAATGAAAACAGAGACATCACAACTGATACACATGAAATACAAAAGATCATCCAAGTGTATTACAAACAGCTCTATGCAAACAGACTAGACAATCTAGAGGAAATGGATACATTCTTGGAAACATACAAGCCTCCAACCTTGAATCAGGAAGAAATAGACAAATAACAAGTAGCAAGACTGAAATAATTAAGTCTTTCAACAGAAAATGTCCAGGACTTGACAGACTCAAAGTCAAATTCTACCAGACTTTCAAATAAGAACTGGTTTCAAGGCTAGGCACGGAGGCTCAAGTCTGTAATCCCAGCACTTTTGGAGGTCGAGGCGAGAGAATAGCCTGAGCCTGCGGGTCCTAGACCAATCTGGGCAACACGGTGAGACCTCGTCTCTATAATAAACCAACAAATTAGCTGGGCCTGGTAGCACGTGCCTGTAGTACTGGCTACTTGGAAGGTTGAGGCGGAAAGATCACCTGAGCCCAGCAGGTTGACACTGGGGTGAGTGTACCACGGCACTCCAGCCTGGGCAGTGGAGTGAGACTCCAACTCAAAAAAAATAAATAAAAAACTGGTTTCCAGATCCAATTTTACTGAAGCTATTCCATAAGATTAAAGGGAAGGGAATTCTTCCTAATTCATTTTATTAAGCCACTATCATCCCGATACCAAAGCCAGGAAAAGACACAGCAAGAAAATAAAACTACAGACTAATATCTCTGATGAACATACACACAAAAATCCTCGACAAAATATTAGCAAACTAAATTCAACGGCACATTAAAAAAATAATAATAACAATCTACCACAATTAAGTGGATTTTATCCCAGGGATACAGGGTGGCTCAACACATGCAAGTCAACAGATGTGATCCATCCCTTTAACAGTCCTAACGATGTAAATCATATGATCATTTCAACAGATGTAGAAGAGGCATTTGCTAAAATCCAGCATTCCTTCATCATAAAAACTGGCATAGAGAAAACAAGTCTCAAAAGAATAAAGGCCATATTTGACAAACCCACAGCCAGTGTCATTCTGAATGGAGAAAAGTTAAAAGCATTTTGTCTCAGAACTGGCACAATGCAAAGACGCCCACTTTCACCACTTGTAATTAACATAGTACTGGAAATACTAGCCAGAGCAGGCAAGAGAAAGAAATAAAACATATCCCAATAGAAAAAGAAGCCAAACGATCTTAATATGACTGTGATATAATCTTATACCTAGAGAATCCTAAAGATTCCGCTAAAACATTTCTGGACTTGATAAAAGAATTTGGTACAGTTTCAGTATAAAAAAATCAACACACACAAATCAATAGTACTGGTAAATACCAATAGCGACCAAACTGAGAACCAAATCAATTCGATTTCATATACAACAGCAGCCAAAAAGCTAAAACACCTAGGATAATATTTAACCAAGGAGGTGAAAGATCTCTACAAGGAAAACTGTAAAACACCGATGAAAGAAGCTATAGAGGTGCAAATAGAGAAACATCCCGTGATCGTGGATTAGAAGAATCAATATTGTTAAAATGATGATATTACTTCAGGTAATCAACAGATTCAACACAATCCTTAACAAACCATTGTCATTTTCATAGAATTAGAAAAACAATCCTAAAATTCATATGGAACCAAAGACAGCCAAAATAGCCAAATTAATTCTAAGCAAAAAGAACAAAGCTAGAAGTATCAAATTAACTGACTTCAAACTATACTACAAGGCTGTAGTATACCAAACAGCATGGTGCTGGTACAAGAGCAGATATGTGGATCTATGGAACAGAATAGAGAATTCAAAAATAAATCCAAATACCTACAACCAACTGATCTTTGATGAAACAGACAAAAACATACAATGGAGAAAGGAAATCCTATTCAACAAATGAAAATAGGAAAATTGAATAGCTACATGCAGAAAAATAAAACTTGATCCCTATATAAAAATTAACTCCTGTCATACAAAAATTAACTCAAGATGGATTAAAGACTTAAACATCAGATATGAAACCATAAAAATCCTAGAAGAAAGCCTAGGAAAAAACCTGTGAGGATTTGGCAAAGAATTTATGGCTAAATCCCCAAAAATAAATGTATCAAAAACAAAAATAAATAAGTGAGACTTAATTAAACTAAAAAGTTTCTGCACAACAAAATAAATAATCAACAGAGCAAATAAAACCTACAGAATGGGAGAAGATACTTGCAAACTATGTATATCTGACAAAGGACTGATATCCAGGATCTACAAAGAACTCAAACAAATAAGCAAGAAAAAAACAAATGATCCCATTAAAAAGCGGACAAATGACATGAACAGACATCTCTCAAAAGAAGTTATACAAATGAGGGAGTGCCGGCAGGGTACTGAAGAAAAAAAAAAAAGATGTACAAATGGCCAATATACACATGAAAAAATGTGCAACATCACTAAAACTGTCAGAGAAATGCAAATTAAAGCCACAATGAGATACCACTTTACACCAGTCAGAATGGCCTTTATTTGAAAATTTTTAAAAAATAGATGCTGGCATGGATGTGGTGAAAAGGGAAAGCTTACACACCTGGTGGGAGTGTGCATTAGTACAACCTCTATGGAAATCAGTATGGAGATTTCTCAAAGGGCGAAAAGCAGATTTACCATTTGATCCAGCAATCCCACTACTAGGCATCTACCCAGAGGAACAGAGGTTGTTATATGAAAAAGACACTTGCACTCATAAGTTCATCACAACACAATTCACAATTGCAAAGACGTGGAAGCAATCTAGATGGCCATCGACTGATCAGTGGATAATGAAACTGTGGTATATATACACCGTGGAATACTATTCAGCTATCAGAAAGAATGAAATAGCGTCTTTTGTAGCAACTTGGAAGGAAATGGAGAACACCATCCCTAGGGAACTAACACAGGAACAGAAGACCAAACACCGCATTTTCTCACTAATAAGTGGAAGTTAAACTTGAGATCTGCAAAGACATAGAGAATGGTATAATGGACACTGGAAACCCAGAAGAGTAGGGGAAGGGGTAGAGAGAAAAAAATCACCTATCAGGTACAATTTGCACAGGTGGGAATGGTGGGTACACTTAAAGCCCCAACTTCTTGATTACTATACAATGCAATCATGGAACCAAAAATTATTCGTACCCTCCAAAGCAACTGAAATTTATTAAAAAGTTTGTATGTCAATGATAAATGTATCCTATTACATATCTTCTCTTATGAGCCTTATGAAAATGAAACAGACAGGAAAAATTACAATGAAATATCAATAAAATATCACAAATTGAATGGAGATTTGTTATATAAATTCTGATTAGGAAAAAATTAAAATTATGTGTTAAAGCAATGCAGCTAAAATAATGGCTAAGCACCCTAGAGTGCTGGAAAATGCTAAGGTCAATGGAATAATTTTAAAAGTTAAGAAATTTATAAAAGTAGTATATATACTATAAAAGTAGTATATATAAACTGGAACGCAGTAAACAAATGTTAACAAAAATTTACATTTCAGCAACCGTCACCATTAACGTTTTGAAGAATTTTCTTCTAGTTTCTTCAGCATATTTTGATATCATAATAGAAATTTTACTGTAAGCATAGTTTTGCATCCTGATTTTTCCCACTATTCTAACACTAATGTTCTACCATGTTATTGTAAATTTTTTTTTTTTTGAATTGGAGTCTCAATCCGTCACCGAGGCTGGAATGCAGTGGCACACTCACGGTCACCCCAGCATCAACCTGCTGCTTTCTTATTTTGCTCATTTATATGTATTTTAATAATTCTCCAATAATGTGTTACTGAGATTGTAAGTTTTGCATAACTAAAATAAAGGGGAAAATAGTAATGGCAAAAAAATATGACTAAGCAATGTTAGATTTAGTTCTTATTCTCAACTAATTCACTGGCATTCTGTTTTATAAAAATATTTTAATTTCATTAAGGATAATGCCATGATAAAATATTAAATGATGATACACTTTACCTTTGAGATCTTCCACTGTTTCCTGCGCTGGCAACTCCTAAACACATGAGAAAACAAAAACAATATATGATTCCACTTACAGCACATTTCCAGGAAGTCAGCCGTCACTGATCTGCAGTCACTGTTTTTCTAAACGACATGCTGGGAAGATACAATACAGAGTCTAGTCTCCTTAAGCTTGTATAAAAGAGGGATCAGAAATGGGTACAAATGTGTGTGTGCGCGCGCGCACGCGCGCAGACATTCAACGAAGACAACTGTACTGCGATAACGGTAGGGATTGCTAATTAAGAAAGTAAAAGGAGAAGGAATAAGGCAGTACTTACACTACAGCGAATAGAGCCTAATAAAATTAATCCAGAGAAAAGGAACTTTGTTGACTTTCCAAAAGACGAGTGTCATTTAATGTGAAAATTAGTGAACAGGTGACAATGATTCCAGGTGAAAGGTGCTGCAGATATGATGACTTAAATGAATGACCAACAGGAGAAAGGAGAAGACTGCAAAGGTTGGCACTTGGGTTCTCTGACCAATGTGGCCGTCCCAGAAGGGGTGTGGACCGCAGAGAAGATCAACGAGTGTGCTTTGAACACACGACTGGTCATTTACCTTATGGTCCCAAGTGTGCCTCTCAGGCCATTTCTACACCCTGAGATGCGATGTTCCATGAGCACAAGGACCAATGATTACAGCATGCAAACTACAATCACTGCCACTGAACACGCCCATTACAGAGAGGATCTACACTACAACAAGAAGAGGGTGAAGCAGGAAAAAAGACCACCGACCGACAGCCCAGATGAGTGATGCGAGTTCATGCCCTGTCCCCCAGAGCTGCAGCGGAGGGGAGGTGTAGCGAGGTTCTGGCTGGCTTCTTCCTTTTTGCCACGGTGAATCCGCCTGTTATTGCTGACCCAACACGAGACACACAAGAACAGTGACATTGTCAGAGAGAACCATGACTCTTCTGGTATCAGTTCAAAACCTTTCATTTTCCTGGAGTCCATTTTGTCCCATTTCTTATAAATAAATCTTATTTTTAAGAGAGTAGTAAACACTATTTTAAAACTATAGGACCTGCTCTCTTCAGGAACTATGAGAAATCATACAAGAATTGTGATGAACATGCATCCTCAAGAATTTCTCTTAATATTTCAGTTCTATGCAATGTATGACTTTTATATCACAAACACAAATGCCATTCTTTAAAATACTCTGGCATGCTGTGAGCATTTAAGAAACAAGACTAAAATATCGAAGTGAAGTTTTTGGCAGTGCTAAGCCTAAGGCTAATGAATTGTATATAAAGTGATATAAAGTCATATCGATAGTCAGTTAAACCATCTTAGTTATGAATATCAATTTTATGCTTATGCATAAGCTTAACTATAAGAAAAGTATACATATTTGTGCCTGCCTATACTGGTATTTTCATAAACAATTAATAAGTGAGAAAATTATTTTCATCAAAATCAAAACAATTAAATTGTGAACTGACACATTAACTGGAAATGTTGTTACCTTGGATTTTTGTGACTCGTTATACGTTCACTGTTGGTCTCTTTGTCTTTATTTGGCTTTTCTTTCTTTTTGGAGGACTTTTGCTGAATTACTTCTCCTTTATCAAACATGAGGTGTAGGCGATAACTGACCAATTTGATTATTGTGAAGAATATAGTCACCGAACTACAGTAAAAAAATACGATGATCGCATTTGGAGGAAAAGCCTAAAGAAGAGAAAAGAAAGGAAAAAAGCATTTGCTTTTAAGATTTTCTTTTTGTTTTAAACCTGGAAGCATTTTTGGATTATATGCCGGACATAAATTGGGCAATTTTACTAGTTTTGTAACTTTTCCTGGTTAAAAATGCCTGAGAAGAAAGAGCTACTATCTTTCTATTCGATTTTTTTAAGTCTTGCTTGTTTCTCAGGTTTTGTAATAGTTGCTCTGATAACCAAGTTTATTTGCAGGCAGGAACTCCAAAGAACAAAAGATATATTAGAGGAAACGCCTCCATTTTCTTTCTTTTTTTTTTTTACTTTTAAAGATGTGGAGTAGATTCAGGGTTAGGTATACAGTTGTTGATGAGGTATACCCCTCTGCATCTGGTCTTAAAGGCCTGAGAAAGGTCTTTAGGGTGTTGGTTCCCATAACAAACCACAAAAAGCCTTGTGGAAGACAGAATGAAAAAGAAAGAAGAAAGGTTAGTGTAGCCTCCCACTCAGTTCCCTTCCTAACCTTCTGCTGAGTCAACATCAGCAGGCCATGGATTTCCCTAGGGTTGTGACATGCTCATGGGTACGAAAAGGGTGCTGGATACTGTTTCCAAAAGGAAAATGGAGATTTCCAGAAGTGAAAAAAAAAAAAAGATCTTCACTGGAGATTATGGTGAAGGTTAGTTTAATTCTGCACAATCCCCACAAGAAACAAAAAGAATCATTGGGATTTAACTGTGTAGAATCCCCCACATACCTTCCTAATTCTCTTTCAGAACGACGGACCATTACAGGTTCTTTGGTTTTTCAGAAAGTAAATTCTTATCCTTTGGGTTGAAAACAGATTCCTGAGTGTTCCAAGATGGTATCAAGTACAGCCTCAAGACCAGCAAGACCCTTTTATAAGTGCCCTTCCTGAAGAATCTCAGAAATCTGGTGATCAGTCTAGTCCAACCCACAATCTGGGATAGCTATGCCTGCAAACAGCTGAGCCCAGCTCACATCCACTCCTAAGCAGTCCCTGCACAACTCATCATAGTCCCATCTAAGAGTCTATCATCTAGGTAAGACCATCCCTAAAACAGAAATAGCCAAACAAAAAGTATGACAAAGAAAGAGGAAAATGATCAATACCAAATAAAAGATAAAGTGAGGAATTTTCTCCAGCACTTATTTACTTTTATTTCACAGGAAAAAAAAGTCCACAACAAATATAAAGTAATTAATAAGTGAACAAAGGAATGATTAAATAAGCTATTAGAGAGATAATAAAGTCAGGTGCCTATCTGGCGATGGACACATTTCATAACTACACATGCACGTCCTACTGTGAAGCTATGAAGAACCTCAAGCAGTATATAGACAAGTTGAAAGGAAAAGGGGGGGGGGTAATAGCAACCCTCATCAGTTTTTGCTGTTGTTTTGTTTTGTTTTGAGTCACAGTCTCACTCTGTCGTCCAGGCTGGAGTACATGGCACACTCATGGCCACCACAGCCTCGACCTGCTTGGCTCAGGCAATCCTTCCACCTCAGCCTTCCAAGTAGCTGGAACTACAGGTGTACCCCACCACACTTGCCTAATTTTTTTTTTTTTAATTGTAGAGGTGAGGTTTTGCCAAGTTGCTCAGGCTGGTCTCAAGCCCCCGGGCTCAGGCAATTCTCTTGCTTCTGCCTCCTAAGTGCTGGGATTCCAGGCATGAGCCATCACACCTGGAAGTTTTTCTTTAACTCTTTTAGGATTTTAAAAACTTAGACTAAAGCTAGAGAGAGAGTTTGAAGAAACCAATTTTTTTTAAATGGAAAAAACCTGCAGATGCTCTTGAGAATAGATTAGAATACTGTCATATACAAATTATATTCAAAGCTGTTTGGACTTTAATGTAACTAGGGCTTCGTAGTTTTCCAGTCAGCAGGAGTAGCAGAGAAAGTCAGTGCGCACCAAATATTTCATCTGCTTCCATTCATTTCCCAGGCTCTCTTGCAGTTAAGCTAGGGCCACGTGACTACTATCGGCCAGTGAACTATAAACATCAGTGCTGAGCCCAATTACGAGCCAGTTACTTCCTACATCCCATGCCTCTCTTGGCTTGGTGACCTCAGAGTCCATGTTTCCCAGACCTTACATCTCTAAGATAATACTTCCTTTAGCCTGGGTACCTGAGTGACTCTGTGGAGTTAGGCCCCTGCAGACCCAAGATGAGCAGGGGTGAAAAACTTTGGATTCATTAAGCCACTGAGATTTGGGAGTTTGCCTGGTGTGGAAGCTAGCAATGCTTCACCTAATTAAGGGGGGCTTCCATTTCCGGGGGGGAACTTCCAGTAAAATCATATTAGACTGCCCGGCTCGGTGGCTCAGCCTGTCATCCCAACATTTGGGGAGGCCGAGGGGAGTGGATTGCCTGAGCCCGCGGGTTCGAGACCCGCCTGGGCAACTTGGCAAGCCCTCATCACTACAATAAATCAAAAATGAGCCGGGCATGGGAGCGCACGCCTGTAGTTCCAGCTACTCGGAAGGCTGAGGTGGAAGGATGGCCAGAGCCCAGCAGGTCGCGGCTGCGGGGGCCGGGAGCAGCCACTGCACTCTAGTCTGGGCGACAGAGTGAGACTCCAACTCGGAAAATAAAAATAAAAATAAATAAAATCCTATTAGAAATAGTTGAGAAAACCCTAAGGATTGGGAAACGAATGCTAGGGAAGTAAAGTGGGAGATGAAAGATTATATATAAATTTTGGGAAAATTCATTGGGGGAAAAACAAAAACCTGATATGCCACAATACGGAGGGATATTACTTTTTAGTTTATCCTCATAAATTTGGACTATCGTGTAAGCTTGATAATAATGAAAATCAGAGAGAGTAAGAAGTTAGAACTTAAGTAAACATGGCACTAGTGTCCAGTTTGCAACCCAGGTGAGAAGCGGCCCTTGCCTCATCCTCTGTGAGGCACCATCTGATACTTTGTCCCATCTGCAGAGAGCCCATATAACCTCACCAGGCCATAGTGAAAGAGATTTTACTAAAAATTCTCTGGCGAGGAAAGCATGCTCTACGCGTGACATGCTTTTCTTCCCCAGATTCACTGATCTCATGATTCCTTTAAAAACCTCTCCCTAGCTGGGCCCAACAGCATGTGCCTGTAGTCCCAGCTACTCAGGAAGCAGAGGTGGGAGGATCCCCTCAGCCTGGGAATTCGAATCTAGCCTGGGCCACAGAGTGAGACACCGTTTCAAAAATAAATAAATGAATAATCCTTCCCTTCAGTAGACTCCAAACAGAATCCACCATCTTCTCAAACATCCCTTTTGTGTGCTCTGCACTTATGCTCCTCCCAGGTTCCTCCCAATTCTCCATTTCCAGGGACATCACTAAAAATCACTTTCAAGGCCACTTTACTACAGACATTGTCCATACTCGATCCACAAAAGACCTCTAGCTTCTAGGATTTGCTCTCCTTAGAGGTGTGAATGGGGGAGAGAAAGAAAGCTTAGGAAAGAATGCATCATAGATGAGCAGTTATGAGGTTATTTTTAATTTTTACAACATTTTTATTATAAAGATGTAAGGTACATTTCAGGGTTAGGTATATAAGCATTTAAACAAGGTACTCTTGTTGATGAGGTATGCCCCTCCCTCCCCTAGCAGTTTCCCTCAACTGCCAG